TATGTTTATCAAAAATTTTATTCTGTATACATCTGGAGATAATCATGTGATTATTCATATATCTTATATATTTTATACCATATTTAGATGAACAGACTTTTGTCATATTGAGTCATTCTTGCACATCAACAGCAAATCTTACCTTGTTGTGATTCCTTCTTGTTGTGATTTTTTTATTGTTGTATTTGTATGTGCCTGTGCAATTGTATGCAAGTATGTGGACATGTGTGCTGGTGCCCACAGAGGCCAGAAGAAAGCACTGGAACCTAGTGAGCTGAGTCAGAGGTAGTTATGAGAGGACCAACATGGGTTCGAGAAACCAAACTCCAGTCCTGTGCAAGAGGAGTACTCTTGACCTTGGAGTCATTGTTCTTGCCCCATGGAAGATCTTCTAGTACAAATGGATCCTGTATTCTAAAAGTTAATCTAATTATTAGGTAGTATTTACAGTGGTGTTTGATGATCAGTTGTAAATATATTTACATGTTACAATCAGTTTCAGCCATATTGTTTTTAGGACAACAATGTCCATGAAAAGAGGACTGTTAATAAGAAAAGAGAAGGATTATGTAGAGACAGAGAGGCCTGACTGTAAGCCCCATAGACCCTGAGGGTCTAATTGATGACTGATGTTATTATTTGATCAATGACTTTATTTAGCTTTTGCCTCTGCCAATTTTATTTTATTGAAACCTCAACCTTCTCTTTTTAAGACTATTTTGGAGCAGTTTCAACTTTGTAAAGCACACACATCCTGTAACTGCTGATTTGCTTATGATGCACGTTTTATTAAAATAGAATCACATAGGACCAGGGAGGTGCCTGCATGGGTAAAAGCTCTTGGACCCAAGTCTAATGTCTTGGGTTTGATCCCTCAGTGTATGTGATGGAAGCTGAGAAATTAGTCCTGCAAGCTGTCCTCTGACTTCCATGTGCACACCTTGGCATACAAGTACCCACATGCATTCACAAATAAATAAATGGTTTTAAAAACTAAATGAAAAAATAGAATCACAAAATACGTCACAGTCTTTACTGTCTTCTTTTACTTAACATCAAGTGTACAAGGTTCAGCCATAATAAAAAATAGTGTGATATTGTGTCTTTCTGGCTGACAATGTCCTGCTGCGTAGATAAATGACATCTGACTTATTCATACCTGTGCAATGACATCTGGGTTGCCTACACTATTTGGCCTTTGGAAGTAATGAGAGTAACATTTGAACAGAATGTTTCAATTTTGGGGGGTGTGTACATAGGAACGGAACTTCTGAACCCCATGGAAGCTTTGGGTTTAACTCTTAAATGTAGATCTTTTAAACTCTCTTTCTCTGTGTCTGTCTGTCTGTCTGTCTGTCTTTTATGTGTGAATGGTGTGTTGTGTGTGTGTGTATCACATGAGTGTAGATGCTCTCAGAGGCCAGTAAAAGGTATCAAATTCTCAAATTCCCTGAAGCTGGAGTTACAGGTGGTTGTGAGCCACCTGATGTGGATGCTGAGACCTGACCTTGGGTCCTCTAGAAGAGCAGGAATCACTCTGAACCACTAGGCGTTCTCTGTATCCCATCTATGCTTAGCTTTTGAAGAAGTTGACCTGCTATTGGAAACACCCACACTCTACATTTAGGACAAAGATCATGTGAGCATTCTAATCTCATAATTTCCTCACCTCCTCCAACACTGGATATGGTATCTTCTTCATTATAGCAACCATGCTGTCTGTGAGTTGATATTACACATATTATGCCCTGGTGTGCATTTCCCGTACGGGTCATGATATTCAGCATTTCTTTCTGTGCTTCTTGGATGTCCATACGTTTTCCTTAAAAACTTTGTCTAACCATAACATTTAAAGAGTTTGATCTTTAAGAGCTCTTATGCCAGGCAGTAGTGGCTCATGCCTTTAATTCCAGCCCAAGAAAGACAGAACCAGATGGATTTCTGAGTTCGAGGTCAGCCTGGTCTACAGAGCAAAATCAAGGACAGCCAGGGCTACACAGAGAAATGCTGTCTCAAAAAACAACAAAAGAGTTCTTGATATAGTATACATTCAAATCTCCTATTGGATGTGTGATTTGCCAATATTTTCTTCTGATGGTGTGTTTTTCCCTTTCTTGTTGGAACTGTTTGCAGGACAGGGGTTGTGCACATTTCTTTTTAATATGTATAGAAGTTCATAGGTCAGCATTTGTCTCCTGTGAGAGGCAATAAGAGTCCTCAGCCTGGTGGACTTCCAGTGAAAGCTTGTCCTTGTACCTCGTTGACAAAAGGAATGAGAGTACAAAAATCTCCCCTGTTGAGCCTTCCTGACACAGGCCCGTTGTCTACCTGGTATCTCCCTCCCTCTCCTTCTATTCATTCCTGGAAGTGGTGCTAATCAAGACCAACACACCAACTCTGTTCTCAGCCATGTTTTTCCTCTCTCTTCTCCCAGGATCTTTCTTAATCTTCTCTCCTTGGTTTTTCTTCTTGATCTTTCTCTTCCCTCAGTCCCTGTACTAGCTTGACTTGCTCACTCCCATCTCAGGAAAAAAGGAACATCTCAAGGTCCACACCCTCCAGACACACATCCCTAATAGTCATCTTTATTCCTCACTTCATTCTGCAGATACGTTACAGCTAAGTAGGTCCAAAGTTGAACTCCTCTCTCTCTCTCTCTCTCTCTCTCTCTCTCTCTCTCCACATCTGTTTCACTTCCTGTATTTCTATTCTCAGAGGATGGCTCCCCTCATCTATCACTTAGCCAAATTACAAAAATGCTTTCCTTTGTGCCCTCCTATCAGTACCAATAAATAATACATCACACTGCCTTATTGAGTTTTAATTCCTGTATAACTCAGTTTGTGACTTGCTTTCTTTTAAAAAATGTTTTTTTTTAATTGTGTGCGCACACACATGCATGTGTGAGTACACAGTGCTGGTGCCCATGGAGGTCAAACTTGTTGGATTCCTCTGAAGATGGAGTTGCAGGCAGTTGATTGTGAGCCACCTGAAGTTGGTGCTGAGAAGGAAACTTGGGTTCTCTGCAAGAGCAGTACACATTCCTAACTACTGAGCCAGATTTCTGTCACCATGGGTCTTGTTTTCTTCAATAAGTACCCAGCTTTATTTTTTTTTAGCTTCTCACCTTTACAATTTGTAGATTTTTTTAATTTAATTTTCTACATCCAACTCTACTGTCATTGAAAATTAGTACTTCTTGATACATCAAGCAGAATTTAAATCAAATTTGTTGCTTTTTCAGCATTTGATTTGGAGATAGGGGTTCAAAGTACTTTATGAAATGATGTACATTTGTGGTTCTGTGATTTCTGACAACTCTGTGAGTTTCCCTCAGTCTCTGTCTCATCGTGTAACATGTACATAGTAATGCTGAGCCTGGAGTGTCATTGAGGGAATGAAATAAGAAATTATTTTTCACAGTGTGTGCATAAAAATAGGAGCCACTGTGTGCTAACAGAATCACCCCATCTTCCCCAGTCTGAAGAGAACACTGGGCACATGATAACTATGGGATCCTGACTGAAAGTCAAGAGTTTCTCAGCAAGTCCTTTAGAACAAGGATACCAGTTTCCTTCTCTGAAACATCAGGTTTTGCAAAAGCTAAAATAAGCAATATAAAACAAAATACCTAAGAGGGTAGGTGTTAAATGCTAAGCGTAGAATGAAAAGTAGAAAATAAAGCAACAGCTAACCCAAGGAACTTGACCTAACTATTGCTCACTTCATTTGTCTCCCTTTATGCAAGTTTTCAATTCCCATGGTTTCCGGAACACATAGTTAAGTGTGGTGTAAAAAGACTAAATGAAAGACTCTGCTCACAAACAACTCATACATTTTGAATTCACTCCCTTCAGATGAACATTAAAAAATCACATTCCATCAAATTTCACCTTGCCTTTTAGAGGAACCTTTGTCCAGAGCATCCACAGTGCACATTCTGCCCTCTGCTAACCACTTAGCGGTTGTCTTTATTAGACTGGTATTTGTTGTATTGTAATACTTCTCGTTTTGTTTACTCGTAGTCTGGGGAGAGAAGATTAGCGATTGTTGTAGTCTAAGTGTGAAATATCTCCCACAGGAGCATGGACTTTACCACCTGGTCTCCAGTTGGTGGCCCATGCATGGGAGGAACCTTCGGGACCTGACGCCTACCTGGTAGACATGGCAGTGGGGTCAGAGCCCAAGCATTGCAGTTCAGCTGGGCTTCAGGCCCAGTCTCTTTTCTTCCTGAATACTACCATATATTCTCATTACAAAGGTTGTGAACTGTTCCTGTTGCCATGCCTCTACATTGTCATGATGGACAGAATCCCCTGAACCATGAGTCAGAATAAATTCTTCCTCCTAAGTGGTCTGTGTTAGAACGGCTAGAATATGATGAGAAAAACATTCAAAACTGGGATAAGGCAATTATGATATGCCAAGGAAAAGCCTTTGTTTCCTCTAGGTGGGTGAAATGCTTAACCTAGTAAGAAAGTAAAAATTAAAATCAGATAGCAAAGATGCTAAGATATAAGTGATTTTGAGAGAACAGGAGAAAAAAATTCACATAACTTTTGTTATAGTATGTCATTCTTTTATTACTTTAATATTTAATATTACTAATAATTTGATGGCATATATAAGTTTTGGTGCTATCTACATTTCAGGCTTCCACAAGGATCCTTGGACTGTAGCCTTAAGGAGTAAAATAGAGCTATTTATTTGTTTGCTGCTTTCCACTTTTAAAGGAAGATAACTACTCTGCCCCAAGTCTGTGCTTTTGTGGATGGTGATGAGGCTGCTGTTTATGTTGATGTTCTAAAGAAGAGTCAGTGATGAGATACCATGTTGACCCCAGGATGTCTGCTTTGCAACTCCAACAGCAGTTAGAGTTTCCCAGATGTTCAACATCTGGGCTTCACAGATGAAGCATTGTTGACCTGCAGTTTCCATAGGTCTCTTCAGCTTTCAACTTCCCAGTCACAGCATCTATTTTTTTTTTCTTGTGAGAACAGGTAGACATGGATCCCAAGGTCTGCTCTGAGAATCATTACATGACTATGATGGAGGAAGAAGGTGAACCAAGAGAGGAACCCGAGGATTATGGACCTGATGACCTACAACACTTTGGTGAGAACTATCTTCATCTACACATAGTTCTTCAATGCTTCTCTTCACTCACTAACACATATTAGTATTGAACTATACGTTACTTACTTGTCTTTTCTGTGGCAATGTATCCTGACCAAGGCAACTTCTAGAGAAAAGAAGTTTATTTGCACAATTCCAGGGGCATAACAGTCCATCATGGCACAGAGGCCCGGCAGAAAGCAGTAGGCATGGTAGCTAGAGCAGAAGTTGAAAGCTCACATCTTGACCTGATAGTATAAAGTAGAGAAAGCAAGTTATAAGTGGTTCAAGTCTTTAAACTCAAAAGGACTTCTGCCTTTGATGTGACATAAGTCCTCCAACAAGACTGCCCCTCCTAAACCTCCCAAACAGTGCCACCAACTAGGACCCAAGGGTTCACAAACATGAGTCTCTGGGGGACACTCTCATCCAAACCACCATTTGCTGAAATTCTCAAGTATGAATGCAGGAATATAGCAAGTACAAGAAATATGGAAAGTAGCCAGAGGCAGGCAAACCCATCCTGTTGCTTTAGTTAAATGCTATTTTACAGGCTAGCTCCCTACCTCATCAGAAACATGTTGAAGATAAGTTTAAATCAAGGTAGCTATTGTAGAGAAGGAATTTCCATCAGTCTTTTAAAATCAATATTCACATAAAAAGGAGTGTTTTGGGGTTATGGGTACAAAGAAAGGCAAAAGGAATTGGCCCTAACAGAACACTGATCCTATTGTTTCCTCCCAGGAAGGGTCAAGCTGTACTCAAATCATTCCGGCTCACAAGGCTATAGTACTGGGTGAAATCCCCCAAAAGTATTCCCCACTATTCGAAAGGAACAAATGAACTCACAAAATGTGTGTGTTCTTCATTAATTTTATTCTGTATCAAGTGATCAAGTAACTACAGGATTTGGAGATACACGAGGTAGCTTGTGTATCCCCTGAGGTCATCTCTATGCTCCAGAATCCCCTTGTGTTAGGAAACTAATTTCAAACAAGATTCAGTATTTCATTTAGTCATTCTGGATAGCTCTAGAATCAAGGTGTTAAATGGAAAGCTTCTATGCTAAGGTTCTCCAGAAAAAATAAAATGAAAGCAAACATAGGTTCATATTTACCTTCTCTCTCTCTCCTCCTTTCTCTCCTTCTTTCTTTCCCTTGGCTGTACTTCTGTGTAAACAGAGGGAGATCCTCTTATTCTTCTGTGAGAGTCTGAAAGTCTGTAATTTGTAGGGAGTGTGTATCGAAGATGAGAAGAGTAGGATGCGTGTGAACAATTCCCTTTGAGGGTAGAATTCCTACTCATAGGAAGGGGAGAGTGAATATGGCAGTCTGTTAGCGAGGCAATAACCTGGAGTAACCAGAGGCTTGCTTCCATGCCCTTACTCTCAGGCTCCACTTAGGACTCTTGATTTATTTTGTCTCAAGCCTAAATGGACTGTAAGGGCTGGCTGAAGAGTTCCATAGGTGCAGTAATGAGATTAGATTTTCACTATGGATGACTGGTTTATATAATTATTCGTTTAACAAATCTGTTACAGTGTTTCTGTCATATCTGAGTCATAGGAATGGACATATATGGCTGAGTTAGATCCCTACCCTCTCAAATCTGGAATGTTGTGGAGAGGGAAGGAAATTGATAAAATAATAAAATCTTTTAATTAGTGGTATTGAGATTAGAAGTTTCATTTGGGGAATTATCATTCCGGTATTTGCTGTCTCTGTCTTCTGAGACTTGACATCCAACAATAAACTCAAGCTTCAAAACATGAATTAATGGGCTTTCTATGACTCAGTTCATAAAGGCATCTGCGGACAAGCCTAAAGACTTGATTTTCATCCCTAGGACCCACAAGGTAGAAGGAAAACAAACAATCCCCATAACTTATTCTCTGACTTGCACACTCCCACATGTGTGTTCATGTCCCAGAGTGCACATGCATGCATGGGCATGCACACACAAATATATGAAAATTTTAAAGATTTATTTATTTTATTTTATGTATATGAGTGCTTTGCTTGCTTGAAAGTCTGTTCACCTTGCCTATGCCTGATATGAGAGTTTAGAAGAGAATATTAAATCCCCCAGAACAGGAGTTGTGAGCTGTCATGTATAATGGGAATTAATCCTGGGTCATCTGAATGCATAATAAATGCTCCTAACACTGCCATCTCTCTCTATATATATATAAAATATATATATATAGTTTTAAAAACAAACAAGCAAACAAACCTGAGCAGTTCCTTAGCGATCTTCCTACACTTGCTCACATCTAAGATCAAAGGTTCTTAGGATCTTAGGTTTGATGCATCCAGTCTTTTTCCCAACCTGTGGATGTTAGCTTCCCCTTCAGAACCTCACATCTTTTCCCTGCTTTGCTGAGTCTCGCACTCAATCAACATCCGCTGTCCATCCATCCCCAGGCCAGGTGAGGCCCCATTGCCCCTTCTATAATCCTAGCCATCTGAAGGAATGGGCGTTAAAATAACAAATGATCCGTGAAGGACGTGAGACAGAGAGAAGAGAAGTGCGTGAAAGATATACGCGCGGTCAAGCTGAGGTGTGTAGCTTGGTGATGAAGTGCTTGTCTGCTGTGCGGCAGACTCTCACCCCAGTGCTGCCAAACAACCAAATGAACAAATGCAAATCAGTGACAGAAGTGGATGTGATTCAGCAACGGGATGCTGCTGAGGGTTAGAGAGAATAAAGATCTTTTCCAGATCGAGGAGTTGGGTGACTAGATATGAGGCTAATCTTCTGTTAATTAATTGCAGGACACAATAAAGAAAAGGACTGGGGTGGGCCAGCGGAAGGCAATAATGGCCTCCATTTGTGTGGTCCACTATGCTCAAGGGGTATGCATGTTGGGACATGCACTGCCTGACCCCCACACTCCTCCAATGCACCCCTGCCATCCTTCTTTCTTGAACTAAGAACTGTGGGATTTGAGTGGAAAAGAAAGTCTTGATATCTCCAATAGACCACGGAGTTCGCTATTTGCAAAGTCACTGAACATTTTGCAAGAAATGCTAATGGCTCATGAAAGCTACAACTTTCTTTTGGGAAGTAATTGTCAGTGAATTATTCATCATGGGTAGCATTATACTCCACGGATATGGACCCCTCAAAACTGCCTTGTAAAAAATTTTCCACATGGATAGTCACTTTGATAATCTTTGGATGTGGGGCCGAAGCAGCTTTCTTCGTCAAGGAACACTAAACCGCCTAAGAACTTTTGTGGAGTGCTCATTAGCACCTAGCCGACTTGGAGGGTGAGACTCTGGTTTTTTCTCCTCCAGCACTTTAGTTGTGGAGCGAGGAGGCAATAGAAGAGGTCCTGAGGCGGTATCTAGGATTCGGTTTTTAGAGGAAATAGATCCCCAGAAAATTGTCTCCTAATCCTGGTGTAGAAAAGAAATGCACTCACATATGCTTTTTGAATGGCAAATTCATTTCAGTGTCTTTAACTTTCCTCTTATGCGTTAAGTTGTGAAACTTCTGGTAATGCTAATATTAATAATGAAGGCATTGTTCCTTCCTCTAATTATGCCCGAGCTCTAGAGATGTCTTTTGGGTGTTTTTTATTTGTTTGTTTGTTTGCTTGGCTTTGCTTTTTTGTTTTGTGGACTGTTTTGTTTTGTGAGACGGGGTCTCACTATGTCACCCAGGCTGACCCAGAACTCATGACGTCCATTCTCAGTCTCCTGCATGCTGGGATTACAGTTCTGTACCACCATGCCAGTCTCTCTAGAAATTGTGTCAGTCTTGGAAATATAATACTGATACCTAACGAGTCATTCTCTGTAAATCAGAAATAAGAGAATGTCTTACAAAGGACTTTGTTCGTGTGTGTGTGTGTGTGTGTGTGTTCTCATTTGAACACAATAAATGTATTCCAATCATCTTCTTCAGGGATCACTTGTAACTTACAGGGATTCCCATTCTTGAGAATAGTTAGAAATTCAAGTAAGTCTAAAAATGTGGTAGCATTGTCAGGATTGGAATCAGTTCTTTAATCTACTGAAACACATTGGGTACTAAACCTTAATCTCTGTTTACAGGCCACATAGTGATGGGTTGAATGGCTGGCTTTCTCAGTCCCTTGAGAGAAACACTGAACGTATCCCTGTAAAGTGGGACATTTGAAAATGGTCAAGCAAGCAGGCCTGAGCCTCTAGGGACACAGTTGAGTATATCCCCAAACTCCAGCCCACCTGTCTTCTTAGTTAGGGTTTCTATTGCTATGAAGAGACCATGACCACAACAACTCTCTCTCTTTTTTTTTTTTTTTTTTTTTTGGTTTTTTGAGACAGGGTTTCATTGTAGTTTTAGAGGCTGTCCTGGAACTAACTTTTGTAGACCAGGCTGGCCTCGAACTCACAGAGATCCACCTGCCTCTACCTCCCGAATGCTAGGATTAAAGGCGTGCACCACCACCACCAGTCTTGACCACAGGAACTCTTATAAAGGAGAACATTTCATTGGGGCTGGCCTACAGTTTCAGAGGTTTTGTTATTATCATCATGGCAGGAAGCATGGCAGGATACAGGCAGACATGATGCTGGAGAGGTAGCTATGAGTTCTGCATCTGGATCAGTAGGCAGTAGGAAGAAAGAGACTCTGGGCCTAGTTTGAACTCTGGACATTGAAGTCACACACTTCCTCCAACGAGGCCGCACCTCCCAATAATGCCTTTCCCTGTGGGCCTTCGGAGACCATTTGCATTCAAACCACCACACCAACATTTGATCCAACAACTCAATCAAACCTGTTTCATGCATATTTCTGTAAGAACTTTAAGATCTCTAACTGTGAAGTCATTATAGTATGAGAACAATAAGATGGTGTGGAAATGGGAGCAATTTCAGTGTCCTAACTGTGCATCTGAGAATGTCCTTGAGCATCCTTGATGATGAAAGACCCTCTAGTTTAACACAGGAAATACTGTTTCCAGGGTTTTATTGGAGTATAAATTTTGTAGTTGGAACACATTTTTCTCT